GGGGATGTAATCTGGCAGAAGGGGATGGAATCTGGGAGAAGGGGATGGAACCTGGGAGAAGGGGATGGAATCTGGGAGAAGGGGATGGAATCTAGGAGAAGGGGATGGAATCTGGGAGAAGGGGATGGAATCTGGAAGAAGGGGATGGAATCTGGGAGAAGGGGATGGAATGTGGGAGAAGGGGATGGAATCGGGAGAAGGTGATGGAATCTGGGAGAAGGGGATGGAATCTGGGAGAAGGGGATGATTCTGGGAGAAGGGGATGGAATCAGGAGAAGGGGATGGAATCAGGAAGAAGGGGATAGAATCTGGGAGAAGGGATGGAATCTGGGAGAAGGGGATGGAATCTGGGAGAAGGGGGTGGAATCTGGTAGAAGGGGATGAAATCTGGGAGAAGGGGATGGAATCTGGGAGAAGGGGATGGAATCGGGGAGAAGGGGATGGAATCTGAGAGAAGGTGATGGAATCTGGGAGAAGGGGATGGAATCATTGAGAAGGGGGTGGAATCTGGGAGAAGGGGATAGAATCTGGCAGAAGAGGATGGAATCTGGGAGAAGGGGATGGAATCGGGGAGAAGGGGATGGAATCTGGAGAAGGGGATGGAATCTGGGAGAAGGGGATGGAATCTGGGAGAAGGGGATGGAATCTGGGAGAAGGGATGGAATATGGGAGAAGGGGATGGAATCTGGGAGAAGGGGATGGAATCGGGAGAAGGGGATGGAATGAGGGAGAAGGGGATGGAATCTGGGAGAAGGGGATGGAATCTGGGAGAAGGGGGTAATCTGGGAGAAGGGGATGGAATCTGGGAGAAGGGGATGGAATCTGGGAGAAGGGGATGGAATCTGGGAGAAGGGGATGGAATCTGGGAGAAGTAGATGGAATCTAGCAGAAGAGGATGGAATCTGGGAGAAGGGGATGGAATCTGGGAGAAGGGGATGGAACCTGGGAGAAGGGGGTGGAATCTGGGAGAAGGGGATGGAATCTGGGAGAAGGGGATGGAATCTGGGAGAAGGGGATGGAGCCTCGGAGAAGGGGATGGAATCTGCGAGAAGAGGATGGAATATGGGAGAAGGGGATGGGATCTGAAAGAAGGGGATGGAACCTGGGAGAAGGGTATGGAATGTGGGAGAAGGGATGGAATATGGGAGAAGGGGATGGAATGAGGGAGAAGGGGATGGAATCTGGGAGAAGGGATGGAATCTAGGGGAAGGGTATGGAATCTGGAAGAAGGGGATGGAATCTGGGAGAAGGGGATGGAATCTGGGAGAAGGGGATGGAATCTGGGAGAAGGGGATGGAATCTGGGAGAAGGGATGGAATCAGGGAGAGGGGATGGAATATGGGAGAAGGGGATGGAATCTGGGAGAAGGGGATGGAATCGGCGAGAAGGGGATGGAATGAGGGAGAAGGGGATGGAATCTGGGAGAAGGGGATGGAATCTGGGAGAAAGGGATGGAATCTAGGAGAAGGGGATGGAATGTGGGAGAAGGGGATGGAATCGGGGAGAAGGGGATGGAATCTGGGAGAAGGGGATGATCCCCTTCTCCCAGATTCCATCCCCTTCTCCCCGATTCCATCCCCTTCTCCAATTCCATCCCCTTCTCCTAGATTCCATCCCTTTCTCCCAGATTCCATCCCCTTCTCCCAGATTCCATCCCCTTCTCCCTCATTCCATCCCCTTCTCGCCGATTCCATCCCCTTCTCCCAGATTCCATCCCCTTCTCCCATATTCCATCCCCTTCTCCCTGATTCCATCCCCTTCTCCCAGATTCCATCCCCTTCTCCCAGATTCCATCCCTTCTCCCAGATTCCATCCCCTTCTCCCAGATTCCATCCCCTTCTTCCAGATTCCATACCCTTCCCCTAGATTCCATCCCCTTCTCCCAGATTCCATCCCCTTCTCCCTCATTCCATCCCCTTCTCCCATATTCCATCCCCTTCTCCCACATTCCATACCCTTCTCCCAGGTTCCATCCCCTTCTTTCAGATCCCATCCCCTTCTCCCATATTCCATCCTCTTCTCGCAGATTCCATCCCCTTCTCCGAGGCTCCATCCCCTTCTCCCAGATTCCATCCCCTTCTCCCAGATTCCATCCCCTTCTCCCAGATTCCACCCCCTTCTCCCAGGTTTCCATCCCCTTCTCCCAGATTCCATCCCCTTCTCCAGATTCCATCCTCTTCTGCTAGATTCCATCTACTTCTCCCAGATTCCATCCCCTTCTCCCAGATTCCATCCCCTTCTCCCAGATTCCATCCCCTTCTCCCAGATTCCATCCCCTTCTCCCAGATTCCACCCCCTTCTCCCAGATTCCATCCCCTTCTCCCAGATTCCATCCCCTCTCCCTCATTCCATCCCCTTCTCCCCGATTCCATCCCCTTCTCCCAGATTCCATCCCCTTCTCCCATATTCCATCCCCTTCTCCCAGATTCCATCCCCTTCTCCCAGATTCCATCCCCTTCTCCCAGATTCCATCCCCTTCTCCCAGATTCCATCCCCTTCTCCCCGATTCCATCCCTTCTCCCAGATTCCATCCTCTTCTGCCAGATTCTATCCCCTTCTCCCAGATTCCACCCCCTTCTCAATGATTCCATCCCTTCTCCCAGATTCCATCACCTTCTCTCAGATTCCATCCCCTTCTCCCCGATTCCATCCCCTTCTCCAGATTCCATCCCCTTCTCCCAGATTTCATCCCCTTCTACCAGAATTCCACCCCCTCTCCCAATTCCATCCCCTTCTCCCAGATTCCATCCCCTTCTCCCAGATTCTATCCCCTTCTTCCTGATTCCATCCCCTTCTCCCTGATTCCATCCCTTCTCCCAGAATCCATCCCCTTCTCCCAGATTCCATCCCCTTCTCCCAGATTCCATCACCTTCTCCCCGATTCCATCCCCTTCTCCCACATTCCTCCCCTTCTCCCAGATTCCATCCCCTTCTTCCAGATTCCATCCCCTTCTCCCAGATTCCATCCCCTTCTCCTAGATTCCATCCCCTTCTCCCAGATTCCATCCCCTTCTCCCAGGTTCCATCCCCTTCTCCCAGATTCCATCCCCTTCTGCCAGATTACATCCCCTTCTGCCA